TGCTTGCTCACTCTTCTCAGCAGCATCCTACCTGGGGGCGCCAGAGAGCAGAGACTCCGCTGTACTCATATCTGCCACCAGAGGGCAGCCTCCACACATTGATCTCAGCTCCCCCACGCTAGCCCGCCTCCCCTGCGTGCCTCCCAAACTGGGCTGGAGAGAAACCCGGTCCAATGCTGAGCAAGAGAGAAGCCTGGGCCAGTGCATGCAAACAATCTTCTACTCGCCCATCCTGAATGTATTAAAGGCAGCAGTAAAGAGTGAGAGCTCTGGAGTCACACTGCCTCTGTGGAACCCAGGCTCTGGGTAAAAGTTCTAGGCCTCATTTGCCTCATCTGTAAAATGGAATGGTATTAATGAGGATTAAATAAGATAATACATATAAAAGGCCTAGCTCAGTGACCAATGAAGAGTAAGTGCTCCATATATGTCAGCCGTTGACGATTTCTATGACTTGTGTATTCGTCCGTTCATTTGTTCCTCAGTCGTCCCCTCTACAGCATGCAGTGCCTCCTATATTCTGGGCACTATGGCAGGGAGGGGACCATGCAAAGAGATGGTGGGAAGGGCACTTCTCAAAATACTGTGTTAAGAGTTATGATAGGGGCGCCTGGGTAGCTCAGCTGGTTAAGCCTCCCTCTCTTGGTTCAGGCTTAGATCATGATCTCACAGTTCGTGAGTTCAAGCCCTGCATTGGACTCTGTGCTGACAATGTAGAACCTGCTTGGGATTCTCTCTCTCTCCTCTCTCTCTGCCCTTCCCCTACTCGTGCTCTCTCTCTCCCTCTCCCTAAGTAGATTAAAAAAATTTTTTTTAATTAAAAAAAAACACAAAGAGTTATGATACACCCAGTGAACAAGGAGGGAAGGTTGACTTGGATGCGCAAAATAAAACATTTTGGGGTGATGAAAATGTCCTATATCTGTGTTGTGATAGTGGTCATATGTCGTTTAAAATTCTCAAAAACAATCGCTTCTTGGTCTTTTGGCTAAGATCAAGTGTAAAATTCTCAAAAACGCATAGAAGTGTATACTTTAGGATTTAAAAAAAAGTTTATTTATTTTTGAAAGAGATCACATGAGGGAGGGGCAGAGAGAGAAAGAGAAGGAGACAGAGAATCCAAAGTGGGCTCCGAGCTGACAGCAGACAGCCAGATGTGGGGCTCAAACCCACATGAGATCATGACCTGAGCCAAAGTTGGCTGCTTAACCGACTGAGCCACCCAGGCACCCCAGAAATACAAACTCAAATTCAATAAAGTTGATCTTTTATAAAGCACTCAGTGTGAATTTATTCAGTGGGCAAAGGGATGGGTGATGGATGAATGGATGAATAAATGAATGTGTGAATGAATGTCTCAGATGATTGCCCATCTGTCCTGATACCACTATTGTCCTGGCTGAGAGTGCTCTTGCCCTCTCCTCTTGGTGACCACAGAGGTGTGTTTCCCCTTCCCTCCTCCCTCTCCCGCTTCCCCACCACCAGCTTCCTCAGGGAAAGTTGTCTCAGTATGCCCAGCTCGCGTTCCCCGGCTTCTCTAAGGTTGCCTCCCAGGGCTTCCGGGGCCTCCCTTCCAGCTGCCATATGCCAACCCGGCCAGCTCTGCTCAGCTTCGTGGTGCCAAGGTCACGGGTGTGATGCCCAACTACAGACCCGCAGTGCCAGCAGCTTAGCCGCCCAAACCCTGGCCGACTCCGCCACCTGCTGGCCCTATTGGGAACTGCACCTCTGAACTCCAGGGAAGCTGGAATGGACTGAAGACCTACCCGGAGCGCTGCCCTGGGCTGTGGGCTTTACTCGTATCTTATTGAAACGTCAGGGCTACCATGTGAAGTGGGCTTTGAAACACGAGGAGACTGAGGCTCAGAGGGGCTAAGAATTTCATCTAAGGTAACACAGTAAGTCATAGATCTAAGATTCCTACCCAGATCTGTGCAAGTGCCCAGTGTATGTTCTGTCCACCTGACTACATCTTGCTTGGGGGAAGGGGGGGAATATCCACGATTGTCCACTCTTCCCAACTCCCAGAAGGAAGGCAAAGGCCTTATACCTCCCTTGCAAATTCACCTTCCAGAGAAGGTGAATGTAATGCCTCCTGTCTGCCAGGCACTGTGGCAGCACCAGGCAATGATGTGAAGAGAGAGTGTGAGGAGGACATGGCTCAAAATAGTGTGTTCAGACCCATGACACATTAATAGACACACTACGCTACACTTATTTTTGTCTGTCCAAGCGGAAAGACCCATAGTTCAATCAGAGTTAAGTCAAACAAGGTCTTGATTTTGTTTCTTGGACCCAACCGCCTGTGCTTCTAACTCAAGAATAATAACCGAGGAGTGGCACATTATTTTTACATCTCATTTGCATATGATTAATTCTAAGTCAAAGAGAATGGAAATGGAGGTCGCCCTGGCCCCTTGCTTCTCAGCCGCCCACCATGTGCCTGACCCTGGCTATGTCTCCCAGTCCCCGCTGTGGTCCCCCATCCTTCCTAGTCCTACCCCACTCCTTGCCCCTGACCACATCCCCCCAGCTCCCAGAAGTCCTTTTCCTTTCCTCCTCTGTCACCCACACAGCCCCCGCCACCTGGCCGCCCACCTGAAAAACTTTTCCCCAAGTTCTTGAGAAGTCGCGTAGGATCCAGGAGAGAAAAATCAAAGTAATAAAACCTCATTTAATTCCTAACGGAGGGCAGAGCTGTGAGCTGCAATTATCTTAATGCTGAGCTATTTTTACTCTCTTTCCTTCTCTGTCTCCTGCCTCTCTCCATGGTGAGGCTTTCTTTCTCCCTTTGTCTCTCCATCTCTCACATGTGTTTTCTCTGTCTCTTTTCACTTTTTCCTGACTCCCCACCTTCTCTCTCTCACCTTCTGTCTCTGTCATCTTTCTTTCTGTCTGTCCCTTGTGCCTGTTCCTCTGTCAGCCAGGCTTCCCCACCCCTCTTGGCCCAGGTTCAGAGCTGTGGGGGCCTGGGCAAAGGCTGGGGTAAAGGGTAAAGACCCTCCCCTCCACCGCAAAGACCCCATCTTCCAAGCCTAGCCGAGAGGGAGAGGGGAGTCTACCTTCCCAGCTGCCCCAGCCTGGGTCAGGGGAATATTTCCCTCGTGGCCTTCCAGAGTGCCGGTCCTGTTTGCAGAACCTCCATAAACGAGTCCTCCCTCCATCAAAGGAGCCTCAGCCACTGTGCTCCCCAAGGCCTTCTCACTCTGATGGGCTCTGAGGTGTGACTGGTGGTGATGTCTCCCTGACCCTGTCCCCTTGTCACCCACCCAGTGCTCCTCTGTCCCCTTCATCCTGCTCCAGGATTTTCCCACCTTTTTTAGCACTGGAAGCCACAGGCCCCTCACCTTCACCTTGGCCCAGTGACCATTCAGGTAAACTGCCTGGGCCGTGCCTTTCCTGTGCCCCTTCTGACTTTCAGGACCTCCTTATTCACCTTCTTAAGGAACTGCCAAACTGGTCTTTGCCACTCCCCAGCACATCCCACCTGGAAGAGGGGCCTAGGCCAAACCATGGGCTGCCGGAGATGCCCACACCCCTGGCCCACAACCTGGCATCTGATTGTTTCCCCGACAAACATGTAAGCCAACAAACATACAGGATTTGAACCAGGCCTGAGGTTGTGGGGAGTGGAGCTGAATGGCCAGGACCTCCAGCTCCCATAAGCAAAACTCTGCTCTCCTGCCACCTTCTGGGTGACTCTGGGGTGCAGACCCCCTTTCACAAGACTCCTCTGGTCTCTTGCACCCTTCTGCCAAGGACCCAGCATGCTGGGGCTGGGAGTGGAAAAGTTGCTGGAGGAGGCGGGGCGTGGGGGGTTGGGGAGTGCTTCTGACTGTTCCAGGTCTGAGTGTGACCGGGAGAGAAGACAGCCAACACAAACAGAGCCCGAAGGAAGACACACTCTTATGTACACATCTACACATGCACCCTCTCAGTGCTACAGAGAAGCTTTCAGACCCTCACCCATAGACCTGTACAGATACCCAGGGCCTGGACAGATAAACAGGGACACTCCAACCCAGTGGGCCGGCCCCTCCCTTTTCCCCTCCAGAGACGCACACAAACACCTCTGCAAAGAGAGAGGCTCACACCTCAGAAATGAGCACACACACCTCTCCCCCCAGCTCTGTTCCTGAATGCACCAAGCTCACACACGTGATGGCACGTGTACTGGTACAGGCAGCCCCCCAACTCTGTCCCCCTGGGCTGGCTCAGTCTCCCCCGCTTCAGAGCTGGGGAGAAAGGAGACACGTGAACCCAGGGTGCATCAGGGCAGGGACACATCCCCCCGCCCCCCATCACAACTTCATCTCCTTCTTCTGCACCGGCTAGAGCTGTGGATACAGTGCCCCCACCCTCTGCAAGCTGCCACACGCCAGCCCATCACCTTGACAGTCTCTGACATCCTCCCCCACACCCACACCCTCCCCCAGCACACAGTCTTCCCACACCCTGCCACTCACACCCGCATCTTTGACACTCTGACACACTTACTCACACAGACTCACACACACTCATGCACACCGACCCCCCCCCCCCACACACACACACTCCGTAGCTACAGGCATCACAGGGCCCCTGGCACTCACACACACTCCCTGCCATGATGACTGACACGTGTCCTCCCACGCACACCAGCTCTTTCACACTCGCTGGCTCTCTAGGACACCCCCATTCACAGCGTGACATGCTGGTGGTAGTTTCTCCAGGACCTCGCAGTCCTCCCGGTGAAACTCCAAGGACCCAGGCCACGAAGGGGTTAAAGTCAGAGTCCCGTCTCCCGGCTGCCCCTCTCCCTGCTCTCCCCCCCCCCCCCCCCCCCGCCCCGCCGGCCTCCCCCCATTATGCTCCCTGCTGGACTCCATCAATAATGCAGCTTCAAGTTCTCGGGAGACGGCAGGGGGCCCCCAGCCCGCTCCCCGGTCCTGGCTCACACTCCGCACCCTCCTCCCGGCCCGGGGAGAACACGGTTCTCGGTGCTCATTGGCCACTTCCCCCTGAGCCCTCCCACCAAGCCCCCGGGCGCCAGTCCCAGGCCGAGGGGACGGGCCGGGGACCCCGAGGCTGGGGCCAGAGGGGAGACCTGGAGGGACGGGGAAAGGCACAGACAGACGGAGGCGCGAGGAGAGGAAGGGAGGGAGAGAGAGGAAGGCGGAGACACCCACAGAGACCCTCGGAGAGAGCGAGGAAAGGAGGGAGAGGCGAGACTCAGGGAAAGACACCGACCCCGAGCCGGCGAGCCCGAAGCCGAGGCCGCAAGCGCCAGAGGACCCGCGCAGCGGGCGCGGCGGGCGAGCGCGAGAGCCGGGAGCCGAGAGCCGGGGGCGCTCCGAGCCGGCGCGACCCCCTCCCGCTCGCGCGCCCTCCCCTCTCCGCGCGCGGTATTTTTATCTGAGCGTGAGCCGCTCGCCTCCCCCTCGCCGCGCACAGCCAGCGGTCGCCGCCGCGCCCCGAGCAGCGCCGGGAAGCCGAGCCGGGACCGCAGCCCGGGACCCCGAGACGCGCGCCACCCCCCCACCCCGGCCCCGCCGGCCACCCCGCCCGCCATGGACCCCAAGGACCGCAAGAAGATCCAGTTCTCGGTGCCCGCGCCCCCGAGCCAGCTCGACCCCCGCCAAGTGGAGATGGTAAGGGGGCCGCGCACCACCCCCGGCAGCTCCTCCCGCGGCGGGGCGCTGCCGGGGCCGGACCGGCCCGGGGCGGGGGTGGGTAGGTGGGGGCGACCTAGAGTCTCGGGCCGCCTCGGACACGCGGGGGCGCGGGGCAGCGCGTGAAGTTCGCTGCAGACTCGGGCAACTTTTTCCCGTTCAGGCGGCGAGCGTCCGGGGCAGGACCGTTGGGAGCGGCCGCGGGCGGGGAGACTGTGCTCTGGACCCTGCTCGGTGTCCTCCTTCTCTAGGCTCCCGCCGGGACCGCTGCGCCCTGGCCCCAGCCGGAGCCGGTCGGAAGTGAGAAACGCGGTGCACTGACCCATTGTACAGAACAGGCCTCCGCCTCGCGGCCCCAGGCTCTGCCCCTCTCTGGTGCCACCGTGTATGCCTGGGCCCGGCCACCAGAGCCTTGTGCTGACCTCCTTCCCTGCCAGGCCCTACACAGAGCCACAACATGGGGGTGGGGGCGACCGGTGGTCCCAGGAGTCAGACCTCTTCACAGAGTACTGAGTTCTTTGGAGAGCCTTGGCGGGTGGGGGGGGGGGCGGGGGGGGGTCCAGAGGTCTCCAAAGGTGGTAGAGGTGGACGGAGGGAGAGGAGAAGAGGGCTCCGCCCCCCACAAAGTAGCGTGTTCACTTGTTGCTGAGCTGCAGCTGGCACCCAGCAGAGCAGTGAGAGTGGGCCAAGTCTTTTTGGGGGGAGGTAGGGGAGGCATGGGGGGAGGGGGAGGTCCAGGGCCTAGGCAGCTTTGGGTCTGGAGGGCAGTTTGGAGAGCTTGGCAGGGGGAGGTGGCAGTTTCAGCTTAATTCACCTGGTTCTCTTTGTGCATTTCCCTGGAGCTCAGAGGGGACCTAATTAACTGACAGTTGGTCTGATTGAGAGCTGGGGGGGGGAGGGGGTGGGGAGC